TGGAGGATTGCTATCAACGTCTCGAAGAGCACCGCGGTTCTCTTCATTTCCGCGAGAAGACACATCCAACAGCCCCGAGCAGTGCAGTTCCTCGGACAGCCGATCCAATGGGTCAAAACAGCACAGTATCTGGGGGTCACCCTTGACGCCGGGCTTACTTGGTCGGCGCACGTCAACCAAGTGGGAAAGAAGGCAGCGCAACGATTAGGTGTGCTAGGCCCGCTTATCAATAGGAGAAGTGGCCTGTCAATCAGGAACGGTGTACTAATCGGCTTTTATACAAATACAACAATGTCTATGCAACAATGCTAAACGCAACAATTATAAATGAATACAACAATGTCATTAAACAGACACAACAATGCCAGACACAATAATGTCTAACGCAACAATGGTTATAAACAAATACAACAATGCCAAATACAACAATGTCTATAAACGGTTACAACAATGCCAGACGCGACAATGTCAATAAACAGACAACTAAACTGTTTATTGACATTGTTATGCTGCTCTCAAGGCAACACGTCACAATATTTAAAAATTATTATAAATATAAGGTTGCAGGTGATGAGTACGTCAAGGAACATTGAAGGACGATTAATCACGGAGAATAAGATTGGTGGAGCATGTAACACGCATGGGAGAGACAAGAACTACGTACTAAATTTTAGTTGGAAAAATTATAGGAAAAGGCTACTTGAAATACATAGGTATATATTTGAGGATAATATGAAAATATATTGTAAATTAATGAAGTGTGAAGGCGTGAACTGAGTTATAAGGTTATGACTGAAACACTCAGACAAACTTAAGAAAGTAACCTGATTAAAATTAGCATTTTCGGGACGAGTTGTTAAAATAACAACATATCGTGATCACTGAACAAAATTCATAGGCATAATTGGAGTATGTTCAAGTAATCGTCGATCAGACCGAAGGGTTTGGTCACTGAACAACCAAAACAATTCCAGGAAAATCAATCGAATTGAAACAAGTACCATTTTAATATAAATCTGCTCGAGTACCGAATGGGCTGACTGCATGTATTAATATTTACCTCATAATTGATAATAAATTAGCATGTTTACATTATATCTAGTAGAAATTTGTTTAACTTAAAATTGGTTAATTTTAAAAAAATGAAAATGTGCAGTCCGTATCACCATATGCAGAGACATTACATGCATTCTACATGTTCTTATCAGTTCCCTTACGGTTGTACTGATTTATACGAAACTTGGTTTGCTTATTCCCTTAAAGCAGAAAGAGACTTTAGAAAGGCCAAATTTCAGAGAAAGTGTTCAGAGTTTGAAACCCGATGAGGGAGGTTCTTTGTCTTGGGAAATAAACACTTAAAGATGCTTTGTGTAGCTCGGAATGAAAATATTACAGAAGAACATTTATATCGTGGCTCAAACAACACGTGTTCGCTGAAATCGGCTCATAAACTACATCGAATCATAGAGCTAAAAATTTCCTCCCATATTTTGTGTCGAAATATTCGTAGTTGATTAAAATTTAGATTTACAAAAACCTAAACTGCCATAAATGTGAGCTTTAAACTAACATGTAAATCGACATTCAATCTACGGGAAGTTTTTCCGCATAATTTTTCAGATACCACGTATTTTTTTAAACCAGGGATGGTTTATTAAGCTTGAACACGAAAGTACAATCCAGACGTAGCGTGCAAACCTGTAGCGTGGATATATAAAACCGTGTTTAAAGTGAATAACTTAAGAAGTTTATGTACGCTTCGTTATATTCTCCGTTCTGTGCCTATCTGTTATACCAAATCACATGTTTTAGGGGAGCTGTAGTGGTAACACTTTCATCTGATGTAACCTGTCCATACAAAAGCAAACCCCTCCATTTTTATCTTCTATATGAGTCACACAAAATGGGGCGTAGGCCTATTGCACGCAAGACGGTACCACATAATCATTCTAGACAAGATAAATTTTGGTATATTTCTTTTTTCTGGCCTGTGACGTCATGCTATATTTTATCTTACCAACTTGTGAAAAATAACTCAATATAATCGCGTCTTGGGATCATTTACTACGGAAGAACACATATTTTAAGACATCAGCAGAGTCTGACTTAAGAAACGTAACATTTTGAAATGTTTTATCCATGGAGATACGATAAAGCGTTTAAGAACATTGCTCATTTTACATAAAGTGGTGGAATTTATAAATAAATGGTAGTGGTCAATTTTAGGGTACTCCCAATAAAAGACAATGTTTCAGAATAGACGTTTTAAAATCCCAGATCCAAACTGATTCCCCGATAAATAGAAATGAGATGTATTACCACTATTATAAACTCCACTAACACTGTAACTTATTTTAGACGATTTCTTGTAAGCGATTCTGACAGGGAATTTGACAGCTAAGGGAATACACAGAGACTATTGCTTTGCTACTGGGTTAGTGTTTGGGATCGTGAAGAATTTTTTATAAGATAAATTTGGTTTTACTTCATTCAAAAGTTCAAAGGAATGACATATAACGAAACACACAACAAATTACAGACACCTTTATAAAGCAGCAACAATTTTTTTTTCTTCAAGTTTTGAAAGAACTTAAAATGTACGACATTTTTCAGACTTACATCATGGGAAAATCTAAACAAAATTCTTTCGCATTTAACACACATGACGCTGAGATTAAAAACACAAAGTGCAAAGCAGTACCGCACAATGGGAGCATTTCCTTTTGTTTACAGACTTTATACTGGATTACACGCTAGCTGACTATAATGTTTTGTTTTATTACTGTTTAGACAGTCGGAGTGATATAGAGGGAGCTAGGTCTAGTCACGTGGTTATACAGGTATAAGATGCTCACGTCTCACCGCACTTCCCCCCCTCTCATTCCCTGACTTCAGTCTGACCAACTACCCACCAAGCAATGTTTTCTTTTTTTTTCTACTCCTCACTACTGATGCTACGTATGCAGGTGAATACGTATTTGACTTCGTCCAGCCTTGCTCGTTAGTTAGTCCGAGCTTTTGCCGTGGAGAGCGTGGTAGTGTTGAGTTATGATATCCAATGTTACTTTTGGTATGTAGAATAAATTGTAATTCGAATACGGATTTAAAACTAATAATCAGTTTATTATGTGTTTTCCATTTTCTAGTTATTAATACGCGCGGGTGTGTGAGTTTGTGATGTTTAAATTCGCCGTATTGTGTCGCTGCATGAATGCTTTCAGCGCTACAATGTGTTGACGGCAACTTTAATAAAAATTGAACGTCTCGTGCACGAAAAATAAATATAGCCGAATTATAAGTGCATAGTGTTTCGGATGAACGTGTTCCAGTTCTATATTTATTGAGTGTAAAGTTCTGTCATCATTTTACTAATAAAATTATAGTACAGTAGTAAACAGACTATATACGTGCAAAGTGTTTTTATTCCATTGCATTGCCGATATGGGACGCAGCCAACTTTTCATGTGCCTGAGTGGTTTATCACAGATGGTTGCTGCATGTGCGGTTATGTTAATAGGGCAGTATTTTCATGCTATTGGCCAGACTGCATTCTGAATGAGGCAACAGCTGCATATTTTATTTTGTAAACATTTATTTCGATTGCTGTATAGTTACACGATTTATGTTCGAATGACGTGACCTTTGTTTATTTTCAGTGATGTGTTCTTGAAGTGGCAAGGATTAATTAATTTTTCCAGGTCCAAGTTCAGCGCAGATAGTTCGTAAAAAATAAAGTGCATCCTACAATTAATTCTGCTGCAACATGAAAAAATAAAATAATTATTATCGCAAGTAATAAGATTAACTACGCAGTGATATTCAGTGAACCAGATTTTCTATGGCGAGGCGTATAAGTGTTGTTTGTACAAATATCATTCTCTTTATGTGTGGGCCGGAACAGTGAATAATAATGAGTTATTACTACTACCAACTTCCGCAACCTGAAGAAGTGGACGATTCAGTCCACACGACAGTTTCACTCCGATATCCAAACCGTGGCAATCGCCAACCTCCTACCTGTCAGCAGTACCAACATCACCACGATAATCGTCCCTACAGACCACGAGCGTCAACAGAAAGCATTCCGTTTGCTGATGCTGAAGCTACCAGTGGTCAACCTCGTGCTGGAAACCTGTCACGTGAAGCGGCAACGTCCAGCAGCGAAGAAACAGTGAACCGAAATCCACCCTGTCCCAATATAAAACATCCCCGGATCACGTCATCAGCTGGAACTGCATCATCACGACGTCGGCGTCGATGTTCCCCATCCACACCCTCCCCTCCAGCAACGTTCTTGGACTCAGAAGACGCTGCAAGCCTTAACAATTTACTTGACGCTTTAGATGACCTTGATGTAGTAGAGGAGGACAGACGTAGCTCGTTGGCAACAACGGGAAGCAGTCGAGATGATGAAATGGCTAGAGACGAGGAAGCTCTGGTTGTTCATAATGTACCACCAAGGACAACATTGGCGTCGATTTTGATATCGATCCCCCCGCCAACCACGCCACCGCCACCCGAGAATGAGACAGACGTGGATATTGGTGAACAACAACAACACCAACATGTGCGGCGCCATCTTGAACAACTGCCGACGAGGATAAACAACGCCAGCTTCGTTCTTCCACCTTCGGCACCTCCAAAAGAGGACAATCAGCAAAAGGTGAGTACTTATCATTACAGTAGTTAAGATAGTAGCGTGTACGTGTCTAACTTAAAGAGTGTTTTGATTGGGTAGATCTGTACTTTTTAAACTGGCATCACGTATCATTGTAATTCTTTGGTAGTCAGCGTTAGACTTTACTGAAAGCAGTTTCTTCATTTGGTTTCCGTGTGTTTCCGTTTGTCAGTCCATCAGTACGTGTACACGGAACAAATGAAGAATGGATAGCCCTATTTTGACGTATGATATTGGACAGGTTTTCGAAAAAAGTATCAAGACATTTCAGTTTTTAATTTCATGGGGGGGCAATTTTAAGCACCACTTACGTGAGAGCATAAATGGTCTACTTTTTAGGCGATTTCGCACCCCCACTAAGCGCCGATAAGGATGAGATACTGACGAACAACCTGGAATTGTTACGATATGCATTATAGTACCTAATTTGTTACACTACGTTAACATGTGATGGAATTGAACGCCAGTGTTTTCACTAACAACAGGCCCACATAACAATGCCACACGCCTGCAGAGTGAAGTAATTTAAATGTTGTAACAAATTCTTAGGCATTTTTGTACGATGTTTATCGATTTTGGAATGGATCCTATGGAACGCCAACAGATGTTAAGGCAAGTGTTAATAGGACGAACCATATTTAAAATTGGCATGTATTAAACAGAAAAAAAATTATAGGTTGGTTAAGTTGTTAAGCCTGTATTAAACGCACGGTCGGCCTCGTGCGGCATTGTGTAGTGCGCCTAGGAAAAGCACGAATCAATAAAAACGTCCTTGCTTTACGTCATTTGGCATTTTATAATGTTCCAAGGCATTTGATATAATACCAGATTTGATACTTTGCCTGTAGCATATAAACAAATTAAAATCAGCACACGCATAAAACTAATTGCCGCGGTAGGCAAAGCGCCATGATTGAATGTCAATAAACCACGTGAGTTTATGTGCGCACGTGTGGAGGTTTGGAGGAAGGGGGGAGGGGAGGGGAGGGTATAAATTGCAAATATACAGCGTTAGCCGATCGAGTAGTTACACCTGAACCTTGTAATGATAAAGACATTGCATTCCTCGTGGTTTTTAAACACTATCATAAATTGTATTAATTGACATCGAACGGTGAGGTAAAGCAGCTGGTACTGTAGTTGATCTACAGCGACAAACCTGTTTTCTTGCCACCATGTAATTTCAATTATACCACGGAGAGAATTTCCCACGCTGTGCTTACGACTGGACCATGAACTTGTTCTGCGAAAGCCCTTCGACTTGGTTATCCTTTTTACTAGTCGTGTTAATGACACTGTAAAGCACATCAGTGTAAACCTCCAGTGATTGCGTGGTAATATTTCAGTTATTTTGATTTTGTAGCAGTCTGGTCCAACTTGCTGTCCACGGTTCACATCTGCCCCGAGACAATTTCGCAACAGACCCTCGGAATTATTTTTTAATTTGTTACTAGTTACTACAAGTTGATTTGATTTAATCCGAATGATTTCAAGGAAATCGCGAGTCTTATTTCTTCTGAACACTTCATCGTAAAACGTAAAAATGGTGTAAGATACAAGCTGTTGTAGGTTTAAATTTAAAATAATATATAACTAAATAGTAATATGTCTATTTCAGGAGCATTTAACTATATTTTAGCATTCACTGCGATAATTTGTCATTTTAATGAGTATTGCTAAAGGTAAGAAAAGCTGACTGAGATTTTTCAAAATTAGTGCCAGGAGGAGTTTATTCCGCTTTGGTCCAATGGGAAAAGATGTCTTGGCCGGAGGGAAGAAACGACTTGGGCCACTCTGTCTTAATAGACGGGAGTAACTTATCTCTTGTAATATTCCTTTAGTACGTAATTCTGCCACTTATTTATCTGACGACGTTTCAGAGGTGGTTACTGCCTGATGGAGGCTGTAAGAACCTCCGAAACGTCGGTGAACATCCACGAGAAATAAAGTCACAAATCTCGCCACAGTGAGAATCTGAAATATGACGATGTTCCAAATAGTATTTGTATTTACGTCGTAATTAGCATTAACCCAAAAACTTATTTTTTTTTACTGGAAGAAAAACACTCCAACTTTAAGTTTCTCTCTCGTCCGTGGTATTACAAGTCAGAACTTTGCAATTCATAAATTATTTACGGTGAACTGACAAAGGGGCCATTGAGGGAATGAATGGCTGGAAAATTAGCTGTCTGTTATACTCTTATAAAGATTCTGATTAATTGAATGTCACATCACGTCACAGTAATAATTGATGACGACTGTGGTATAATATACTACGAGTGTGAATTGGTTTTATAATATTACTACCGATCATTAATTCTTTCCACGTGGGCTATTAGGAATAAGCATAATGAAGGGTCAGAGCGTAATAATCTCTTATCACAGACGATTACGAGAGATTTGTGGAGATACGGAGAATTTTAACGAAGTGCAGGAAGAATGCAATGTTAATGTTTAGGGTTTTGATGGAAGACGTTACAGGAATCGTGTTTATATTAATAAATATCGCAATCTTATTATACCATTCTGTAACAAATCTTAATATGCAAAAATTTTGAAAGGGGTAACGAAAAGTTCCTGACAGAACTCACGAAACTTGGCCTCATATTGCATAGAATTTTAATTATGTAAATCTCATGTTGTTAATGTCATAATTACGTAATGCAAATTTATAAATAGCAATAGTAATTTTGCTGTGTCTGTAATTGGCCGTCTGGCTGTTTAAGTACGACACTTACGTAAATAACATTCAAAAAACCAAGTTTGTACCTCAAAGAAAACACTACTTGTCTCCATTACCATGATCAGTTTGTTAATGCTGATTGGATACAGTATCACTTTTTATCATAAAATATATTAAAAAAAACTTAAACAAACTCCGTGGTAAAATCAACAGTTACTGAATTATAATGCAGGTGGTATATATACTGACCACTCTACTCTGAAATTTTACCACAAGTCTTTTGTACAGTGCAGTGTAGCGAAAGACCGAAACATTAGAATAATGTAAGTAATAATAATAAAAAAATTAATCATTCTGATTACAAATAAAACTGCAAATGAAATTGTGACTTTCTCGCTTGTCTGCGTTCTTTATCTGGAAGCTGTCTAGGAGGGCATTAGATCGATCTATGGACACGGCGTACCTTGCTTTAAAACGCCATGTTACAAGATATCGTTAGTACAATTAATTATTCTCTGAGATTAGAATAATGAATGAGGTTGGGGAAACTCCGTGTCCGACTCGGGAATCGAACACGTTTCCCTGGTGGTTATGCATGACAGGCGACTCGGTACCCATCTCACGCCTCTGATAAAACATACACAGTGAATTCCAGAAGATTTATGTTGTAACAGAGATGTCTTTGTACGAAATGGGAAATCAAAAAGAGAAAACAATTTGTTAACGTCTATAAAGGCTGTTCGGAAAACATTACGTAGACGGAAAAGAACATTAATCAATTATAAACTTTAACATTTATATCCATTCTGTCGTTATGTGTAATTGTGAATAAACTAGAATAATGTTTTAGGGCACTTTTATATTATTCTGAAATTATTAATTAATTAATACTTAAATGAGACTGTACGCCCGTCTATTACGTTAGTGATAAAATAATGTCGTATTGAACATCAAATCGGACCGACTCTGTTGAACCCTTAAAGAGTAGCTAATACTCTATCGGCTAGCCAAGAAATTCTCCATCTGTTATGTTCATTACCGTGTCCACAAAAGCCCACCAACCGCCACCAAATGGATCCGGTCCACAGAATCAAACCCAATTTATTTTAAGATCCACTTTAGTATTATCTTTCTTTCCACGCCTAGGTCTCTTCATTGATCTGTTCTATTCACGTTATCTAATGCTGTATACAACTCTCATCTCTTCCGAAAGCCAACTAAGCGCCACTGAAATGTCATTAAACTTCTACTAGACTACGCCATCTTCATATTCGCCGCTGTGAGATCTTAAAAACGTCTCAGCGTTATTCTGAACAAGATAATGAATCTTCCGGTTCCATAAATGGCTGTCGATTTGTTAACTAGCGGGGGTGACCATTAATTTCTCGAGAAGGACTTTACTCCATTGAAGTAATTATAAATCCGAATTGAAAAATAACTTATTTATAATAAATTAATATTAATTCTTTGATAGTAGCAGCTAATTATAGTACATCTACATTGCGTAATTAACATCGTAACGCAAGGATCAAAATATGTGTGTATTATTGTAATTGTCTATGATATGTGCACAGCAGAGAGAAATGTTTAGTTGTACAAGAGAGACAAACTCTACGAATAAATTAATTACATCCCGAGGTAAGGAATAATTCCCATTACATCCAGCAGAAACAGCGTGTTGAGTGTGCACAAACAATGTGACACGGATGGGGTTGGGGGTGTCGGGTTCTGGAAGGGTGAGGGGTGGGACGGAATGCACTGGGATGCTGTTGAAATGAAACTCTTCTTTGAAAAGGTGTAACTAATAAACCAGCGAAATTAAATTCCTTTCCACCTGGCATTTACGTTTAATACCACCCAAGTCCTAGCAATGCCTTTGCTCGTAGTTGGACAGAAAAGAAGGGCCTCCCTGTGTTATTCCACATTGATCATTACCCCCTGGGCTCATTTAAACAATCATGAAAGTTTCTGTCCTGTCAGATAATCATAATACTCCGAATTCATATTTAAATAGATTTCTACTATTTTTCTTTTACTTAAAATAAAGCAATGGCGTCTTTGCTGTAAACCTGTCTTTCTTATTTTATATCATTTACATTTGCTATCTCGTGACTGTGTTCGCTACATCGTGCCAGAGTCAATATATGACATCAGTGTACATTATATACGTCGCTGTTTGCACATTTCTTTTTCTGCGTTTGAACGAAGTGGAGGAAATGGTGACCCAGTTTACTTACCAATATGCCAGAATATATATATACAGTACCAGTGATAGCAGGTAGAAAAACTTTACAGCTGAAATTGTAAAAGTTTGGAATTTAGAACAAAAATATATATTTTCCTCTATTTTGTATGTAACTGTTCCTCAGAACATCACGTCACGATCTATTTACGTGTTTTAATATCCGAAAATCTGTTAAGTTCTTCGTGGGTTCGGATTGTACCAGCGCTGCTATGAAAAATAAATTTTGTTGACGTGAAATGCGATGCCACGTGATTGTCCTACGAATTTTATTTGGTTGTAACACTGTATGGACCTGTAGGTAAATACCAGAGTTTCGGTAGAACATCGTCTCTCTGTCTTCATGGCTCTGGAGGCAGTATATACCTCCGAAACGTCGGTGAGGTCAGAAGGTGCCGATCCATGGAAAACGTTATCCGAAGGCCTTGCTACCAAATAGTCTGGACATAAAATATACAGGGACTGTGAAGGTCTTCTTATTATATTTTTAACTTTTGTACTGCATTCCACTGCACCATATAAATTTTGCATTAGTGAAAATGGGAGTTCACCTAGAAGATATTTATTTCGAAATATATCTTTTGTACCGGATTTTTAAATCCATTAATTCTGTGTCAGTAAAAACGTGAAAAATGTAAGATGTATTATCAGTATTTTCTTTCGATAAATGGACATAAATCCACGTATAGGGCACAGCTATGAGATAGGATTGCATCCCTAATTCACTTAAGTGAAATACATCAACATAATTAAAAAATAATATAATTTATGTGATACATCTTACGATTTACCTAGTATGTAAAATATGTGATATTGTACGTGACGAAGCGTTAATTTCTTTATCCTTTGCTGGCC